TTTCCATACCTAATTCCAGCATACTTTCAATTTAGCTATCTTATGAACAAATACTACCCTATCTTGAAATTTCTTCCCTGTATTATCATTATTTAAGAAAATGATATGATATAAGATCTTTCTGGATTAGTACTCTACAAAAAATTCTCTTAACTATAAGCCCCCCAAAAAATTCATTAGTGCTCCTTCATAAACTGATGATTTTTAAAGGCAAAGCATCGTATTCATGAAGAAAAGTATCAAAGTTAACAATAATTAATGCGTACTAAAACAAAGGAGAAAGTCATTGTGAGGCTGACTAAAATAAACTAATTCAGGTCCCATAATTTACTTACTTCTTCAAAAAGTTAGTATGAAAATTTTCTTGATGCTGAACTTCCTTAAAAGGCTTATAATAAGAAAAGTTTCTGAAGTCAGTTGTAACGGAAACCAACAAGTTAAGCTCTGATCCACTAGATTCTAAACAGTTTAAACAGTAAAACTTGCCCAAGTAAATAGAGAAGCAAAGTTTTCACTTTAAAACTTTGTTTTCTATGGAAATTAATCCCCTAGTTTAGGATAGTAACACAATAGGGCTAAGTTAATGAACAATTAAACTGATTATGATCATTTTAGTTGCAGATTCCTGTCTGCACTAGTTACTAACTGACACAGTGACTTATTAGTGAGCTGAAGTATATTAGAGATGATTAGGATGGCACAGGACAGAGTAAAGTTCAGATCCATTATTCACAGGGTTGCTATGAGTGAAAGACACCTAACTACAGAAGTTATTTCAGAACTATGTAGCCAGGAGGATATATCATTATCTGTTAATTATATAAAATACTCAAGTGACTATCTAGAGCTGAACTTGATGTATTTTTCTTGAAAAAAATGTGATTTTTTTTTAAAAAAAGCTCATCTCTAAATTAATGCATGGTTGATTGATACATTCTACTTGAAACAAATCTGTTTTATAAAGTTCAATCTCAAGTGAAACCACACAGTATTTCCTATTTCATCATTTTGGTAATAGGCAGGGAGAAGGCTCAGGGGGCTGAGCGAAGTATTCATCTTGGGCATAAAATGTATCCAAATGCCAAAAATCTAAGTAATGAAATTATCTTTGAATATTGAAGAAAAATGGAATTG